AAATGAAGTACTGCTGCAGCACAGTCCAATTTTCCCAGCTTACTCTGCACACAAGGACTGTGAGAAGATGCACGGTCGTAATTTAATAACCAAGCTGGTAATACCTGAGTTTAAGATCCCTCAACCAAAATGCGATTCGGCTTCATGTTACAGGGCTGCTGCACATGCAATAAATGAGCTTTGCATTTTCCAAGTCACTGACTCCATCCCTCAGACATGCAATCACATTGTTAACATATCAACTGGCGTACGTTTGTCTCCGGTCGGCGTCACAGAGCCTCGGTGAGATAACAGGGTGATGCAGTTCAGGTAGCGTGGCTACATGAGAGACTCTAATGTGCTCCACTCCGTCCTGACAGAGACGGTTTGTTATCCTCCATAAGAAGGAGTCACTCTGTTGGCACAAATCCCCTTTCCCTTCTGCAACCTCTGATCATCATGTCATTGTCTGCAGCGATACACTCCGGGGACTCTGCTTTCACATAATGAAACCAAGAGAGCTGCCCACAGCCCAGCTTATAATCACCCCGTGTACAGTGTGTGTGTGTCTGTGTGCACGCATCAAGTTTTTTTATATAGTGTTGAGTGAAAACAAAAGAGCTTCAGAGTTAATGCTCATCTGTGTGTGTGTGTGTGTGTGTGTGTGTGTGTGTGTGTGTTTAAGTGGCACATGGGGGTGTGTTCCTGCGTGTTCACATGTGTGCGTATATACATCCATGGGTGTAGATGAGTCACTCTGAGAGGTCTCACCGGCTATTACCAAGCTGGGACTCAATATTTAACAGGAGTTAGAATAATTGTCTCTTCATTCGCTCTCCAGAGATTACAATAGTAACTGTCAAGTGAATTAGAATTCTTGACATTTTTCCCAAAGTGTGTCTTTGAAAGGCACTGTTCAAACAGGCTGCACGTAAGGCCTTCTCGTACCAGACTTTCCAAGGCGAACTCTCCCATCCATCCCCGGCGCCTTGTAAACAAACGGAAGTTGCTCTCTACCAGGAAGAGAAAGGAGGAGAAAAGACAGACTCAGAAGAAAGGGTGAATGTGGAAGGCAACACCAGAGAAGGAAGCTGCTTGACAAGGCATCTTATCTTCACTGTGTTCTTTGCTGTGCTCAGGTTTTAAGCTTCTTGCTGAAAGGTGGAACATTGAATTCATGCAGCAGGTTTTGCTTGCTGTTCCATTTTTTTATTTTTTTTTTGCAAGCTGCTGTTGCAGAAAAGGCTGAGGGAAAAACAGATACTATTCACGAGGCATCTCGTTTGTGCATATTCAAATTGCGACACAAAGTTTGAATATCTTTTCCCATTGTTTCTGCTCACGGCTGACACACACAAAAACACAAATGCAGGTCGCCAAACACCCAGACACACACGTATGCATGCACAAGTTAAACTTTCTAATCTGCATTCCGAACACTGACAAGAGGTGGCCTTGCTACCAAAAACACAAAAAGGGTTTGGATTGAGTTTTCCACTCAGGCAAGCAGAAATTAAGAATTCAATTTAATGAAAAATAAACAAAACATGATACTGTAAAATACGATGTTTTTAATATTTTATGTATTTAAAAAGTGCAATGTCTTTGGTACAAAAATCTGAAACAATGGACTGTGATATGCTTTTGCCCCCAACTGTAATTTTAAACAGTCTCTTCATAAAAAAAGTTATATTTTCCAAAGCTGTTTATGTATTTTTTACTGCTAATTTTTGAATTATATTTAGAATATCGACAGTTTATCAAGGCAAAGTTGAAATAATAAAGTTTGACAGTTTAAATGAAGTTAGAAATAATATTCTGGAGGATAAGTCATTGCTACAATAAAACAGTAACCTTTGCAACTGTTACTGAGGAATTCTTGTGCAACACTTTATTAAAGCCCTCCTTTCCTTCTCTTTTCAAAGAAGTTGCCACACTTGCCACACTGCTGTTTCCAAATGCCATTTTTTGTAATTCCGGGGTTAATGAGGTAGTTACAAAGCTATTAATCAATGCCTCCTTTATGAAAGTAATAAATGACAGGAAGGTCCTCAGGAGCTGTGCTGCCTGCGAACCTGACACCTGCAGTGGTTCAATAGCTCCGCTGTCGATTTTATTCACACTGCAGCAAAAGATTACTGCGTGTTGTGTTTCGTACGTTGGAAAACGGACATGGTTCTTTGAGAAACAATGGAAGCGTAAAAAAAAAACAAACCGCTTGAGGCGTTCTACCATTTTTATCTACAGTGTCATGGCTGCATTACTCGTGGCTGACCTAATGCACCTCGTTTGAATGCTGTTTCATGGTCTAATTGTTGCTCGTAGAGAATATTAAGGTGGCACCGTGTCTGTTCACATCTAAAGGCCAAAGAAAGCGCTGTTGGTGAACAAGGCTGTTGATGTCAAAATACGAAATGTTTTGGGCGCAAACCTTGCACGCTCTTTAGTAGAACATGTAAACATTTACACAGGGGTATGAGTCAACCCATTTTCCCCTGACTTTTTTCTCCTCCCCTTCCTGGGCTGTTTGTATCTTCTCTTCAAATCCTCATTACACAGGCTCGGCGTGTTGCTGTATTCTAGTGCCTGTGGTCTGTTACTCGCACTGATCAGCCTTCCTGTTGCTGCAGAGGAACTGTGAGCAGTGAGATAAGGATAGTGAGAGCACATGCTTGCATTAGGGAGGCGGGAGGAGGGGGGAGGAGAAAACTTAGCAAGTACAGGAGGGCAAAAGGCTGCCTAATTGGGAAATTACCAGAGATCATCGCAGGTCTCTTGGTTGGTTTTGCAGCACGGGTGTCGTGAAAGTTGTGAACACGAGGGCCACAGCAGCCTGGAGGCCAGACGGGGACGGAGGTCTGAGCAGGTCCAGCGGCAGCAGTGGGACTCACTCAGAGCTGATGTGGAGAAACATCAGAAGAGCGTCTCCTCTGTGAGGCTGAGGAACAGACAGACCTCAAACAAACCCGCACAAGCAAGGATTAAAGAGACCTCAATAAATCCAAGGAACAAACTGAGGATGTGAGGAGGGCGAATTGGAGTTTAAGCATCCAGAGCCTGAGGATCACAGCACAGGATATGCATGTTGATGAACTTTGACTCCTCTGGCATATCGGAGACCAAGACTAAAGGGAGGATCAGGCTTCGCTATTCGACCCAGCTCTGGATTGAGGACAGTTTGCAGCACGTACAAGCAGGTGCTGCTCCTCTGTCTGCATGAGACGTGAGCACGCACTAAAAAGTGGATGAGGGGGACTGCGTGGGAGGGAGACGGCCGTACAGAGCGAGACAGCCAGTTGTAAGTGGAGTCTGGGGGAGTTTTCTGGTCAGCTCCAGCAGGGCCAGATCTGTCAGTGATGAGTCAGAGGAAGCTGACACGACAGTTGAGGTTATGGGACACTCCCGAGGGTCCTCCCCCTGCACCCTCTCTCACCTCACCTGTGTCACCGGTCGATCAGCCTCGCGGACACGGGGGCTCGGCTCTGTTTCGCCGTATGAAACTGAACCGCAGCATTCAGGAGCGCAGACGCTCGTCTCACTGCACCTGCAGGTACAGTTGTGCACCAAGCCACTGATCTTTAATGTGTCCCAGTCGTGACTGAGCTGTCTTTGCTCCATTAAAAAAAAAAAACAGAAGCTGCAGTGATTTGTGATTGTTCTGCCTTAGTTCAGGCGAGGTGTGAGCACCAAAAACATTTGTGCAAATGTGACTGTAATGCGGCTCACTGAGGAGGATTTCAGAGTAAATCATTCTATGCACACACTGTAATAACCTCAGTCAGATGGATTAGATTTTGGGAAGTGCTGAATGCTGAAGTATCATAATTACACTCAAAGTTGGCGGAAAAAAAAATAAATAAAAATGGGGATTAGCACATGCAGCTTGCAGAGAGTTCCCCCCGGCAGACATTTTTGATGTGTTTTTTCATTACTGAGGAAACTTGTTTAATGATAATTTGATCTGCAGCCATGTTCACAAAGCCTTCTGGGGAAAGGAGTGGCTCCTAATTGGCCAATTTATACGTAAACTCTAAAAATATCACACTTCATACTTAATTTTAGAAATTAAACTGAAAGCCGTTCACAACTGTGTCGACGAAAAAAGTTTGAGAAGATTCTGAAACGTGGGGAGATGCTGTGGAGATTAAAGTCATCCTGTATTAAAAATAGACGCAGCGGCTGCATTGCGATGTACTTACCTATCTGTCCTTGTCATTCTGACATGTGAATGCAGGGAAAGTGGCAAATATAGATTCACATTCCTATTTATGGAAGCCTTGCTGTTTATGTGTGTAGTAAACCCAAGCATCTTCACAAATATTGATGGAATAATACTGCTACCTCAACATAGTCCATCATTTTCTTGTTAGATGATACCAAGCTCTAAGGCCTGCCTTTCCTGCATGTCACCACCACCTGTAGATAAGAGATAGAATGGTGTGATACCATCATTGTGTGTGCAAGAGATAAACAAAATGGGAACCCAGTTCTAGGAAAAGCTCTCCACAGCCACAGGAGGTCAAAAGACTACAGGGAGCCTTTAATATGTATGAGTGTTCTTAATCGGCTGAGAGTTTATTTTATCCTTTGGGTCGAAAACAGATCTCAACCCAAATCAAAAAATCTCAATCACTTATGTTTTCAGACTGACAGCTTTGGCCCAGAGAGAATCTGTGTGTTGATGTGGCTCATTTTGCTCACTTAAACATGACTCTCTGTAAAACATGACTTGTCAGTAAAGTGTAATTCTCGGAGAAACCCGGTGGCAGTCTGCCAATCCGACAGCACCGCGGAGTCACAGCTGCATGCGTTCGTGCTGTAACGTCTGTCACATCTCGCCTTCTTCAACTCGCTTTCAACAAACCAGAAACACTACAGGACGACGGGCTCGCGTCAGGGTATTTGGGGTTATCTCGCCACTGTTTTTTTCTCACGGTGAGATAAGGACAGCGGCGAAGCAAGCACACCTACGTTACATGTTAACAGATGCTTCGTCCCTGTCCTCTCTGACCCCCCCTCAGCTTCGATTCAGAGAATGGTCCCTCACCAGGCCGCAGTCCCATGGATTCGCAGGCGAGTCCCGGGTTGGTGCTCCATCCTTCTTTTCCCCAGAGCCAACGCAGGGAGTCCTTCCTGTACCGCTCCGACTCAGACTACGACACATCCCCCAAAACCATGTCACGCAACTCCTCCATCAACAGTGAGGGGTAAGCATGAAGCCATCGTCCTACATCCATCATGTGGCTGACTGAACATGTTTTTTAAACCCACACTCCCCACACACACACACACACACACACTATAGTAACTGCATTTTATTCCAATCAGAACAGAAACTGTTGTGATTGTAATTGTGCAAGCATTATGCTAATGAAATCATGTTGAACCCTCATAAATTAACAGTTGTGTTCTGTTTCTTGGCCTATCTTCCAGTAGGCTTAAAACCTTCCATCAGTGTGTTCCAGGTCTCTGTTTAGACCCACATAGGTCTTTGTAAACATCCAGCTCACAATTCAGCCTTTTCATATAAACAGTAACACCGAGCACTGCAGCTGCACTCGCATTCATCTACTTCTCTCACTTCTTGTTTTGGTCCTGCAGGCATGCCGAAGACATGATCGTCACCCCTTTCGCTCAGGTATGTTTTTTCCTTGCGCAAACTCATCTGACATGTTTAATTGCTGTAAATGACAAAAAAAAAAAAGTGGCTAATTAGTGCAGTGAACTTGTCCACCCTCCCTTGCTCCTGCTCCCTCCCTCCTCCTTCCTCCCTCCTCCTCCTCCTCCTCCTCCTCCTTTCCCCTCCTACGCTGTCCATCCATCCCCCAGGTGTTGGCCAGCCTACGAACTGTAAGAAGCAACTTCACCATCCTCGCCAATGTCACAACACCCACTAACAAGTCAGTATCATGCTGTCAAACACCCCTTCCCCTCCCCACTTACACTCGTCACGACTGCCTGCTTAGTTTGCAGTGTGTGTGTTTGCTAATGCCTCCGTCTCCTTGCTCCCATGGGGGAAAACACTTCAGCCATCATGATTAACCAGTTTGCGATTAGCAGACAACGCTCAAGGAAAATATGATGTGCATTATTTGGCATGTTTCCAGCTAGCTGGCTGAGAATTGAGTGCAGAGAGCTCCATGCCTCAGATGTACGTCCCTGACTCTGTGCCCAGACGATGGAGACGGTCAATAACACTAAAATTATTCTCCTTTGCAATGCAGTAGACAGAAGGAGCCCGAGCTGGCAGGCTTTTAGCTCCACGTCAATATGATATATATAAAGCAATGCACCGCAGAATTATCAGCGGCTATAATTACGTTGTGTTGTGCCCTGAAAATGCCTCCTTCACTACACAATTACAAAACCACAAAAGCTATTTGAAAAGGGGGCAGGCTTTGTTTTTGTCTGTTTTTGGAAATTTATATGTGCTTTAACAATGCACACATTGCAACATTATAACACAGAAACACACCCTTTCTTTCATTTTATGGGCATACAAATGGATAATAAAAACACAAATACTTGTATCCCCCCTATGTGAGCCAAGCCTTTTGTTGCCTCATACTGTAATGCTGAGTGTATCGAAGCCCAGCAGGGGGCAGCAGTGGGTAGTTCTCCAGCTGATGCAGTGATGTGTTTGTCCACAGGAGGTCGCCAGTGACAAGCCAACCCACTGTTCCCCAAGCTACACTCTCTGGTATGTTGTCAGCTAATTAAAACTCTTAGTCCAAGGAGTTTTCCTTTAAGGACACACCAGGGCTCCCACAGTGCGAAAATGCATCATCAGTAATGAAAATGACTGAGCGCATCCCATAACCTTGTGTGGCTATTATTGAGGAATTGTTTAATTAACTACTACTGGACACATTTTTATGAGGACTGAAAGGATCTCAAGTAATTAAATGTTTTGATGTTTGGGAAAAATGAAGCACACATGCATTATATATATATTTTTGAATGTAACTCTTTATACCGTCAGTGCAAAAAACTAAACAAAAACAGAACACTTTTATTGTCCAAAAAGTGTTGATTTCTGTCCTTAAATGTAATAGAGTAAGGGAAGCATTCTATATATTTTTGGAGAGAAAAAACAATACATTTACCAATTTGTGTAGGGATGCTTTAAAAGATTTACATGTCTTTACTATTCAGCTGACTGTTATTTATAATATAGGAGTGTTTAACTGAGTACTAAGTAAAAATGTCTGATATGAAAACATTTTTGTAGCATCTGAAAGACGAAATAACTTGAATGTAATTGCTGTATTTATGCATATTTACACATGTAAATCAATTTTTATGTGATAGTTATGCTTTGAATCAGCTGATGACGATTAAATACTCAATTTACAAGCATTATACTGATGTAGAACAATGTGAAGGTGTAATTTTTAAATCTAAATGGATACACTTTTTTAACATAGACAGCCAGTGTGGTAGCTTTTTAAACCCTTGAACTGTACACATTCCTGTAAGTGTCAAATCGCTTTAAATGGGAGATTCATCCCTGATTTGATGGCTCTTTCTGTGCTCTTCCTCTACTGCTGGTTTATATACTGTCTGTGTTTGTGTGTGTCCTTGCCAGAGGAGACATACCAGCAGATGGCTCGGGAGACTCTGGAGGAGCTGGACTGGTGTCTGGACCAGTTGGAGACCATTCAGACCCACCGCTCAGTCAGCGAGATGGCCTCCAACAAGGTGCACACCTGTCCACACACAAACATGTTCGCTTGAACGTCCACTGTCCATCCACCTCAGCTGTTGAGCCGGTATGGGGCCAGCGTCTTGATGAGCAACAAATAAACTGGCTCACGGGAACATTTAATCACATAATGAGATCTGATTGTAATTGGGCTTTAGCTGTATCACACAGTGCACAAAATGAGGTTCCTGTTGAAATGTCCGCTGTTCTGGAAATACAAACAATGCGGCATCAGTGAGGTGAATTACTGAAGTGAACCAAAGGAGCATCTGTAGCAGTGTGTAAAACAATGGCTTTCACAGATAATCGTCACACATATTCACACAATAGTTTTCAACAAAACACTTATCAGTTGAAGTACTAAAAGTACCTTTTGCAAAACAAACCGTTCCGAGGTTTATTTTCAATCCTGTGGTTGCAATTGCATCAATAAATATTTAATGTGGACCATAATGTACCACATCGGTGGTCAACCATCCTTTTGGTTTGTTTTTATGACATTCGTTAAAGTAAACTGACGTTACTGGTTGTTGTGGTGAAGCATCTGTTGTTGTAACTGCAAGATGTGCGGCAAGTTTGTGTTGGATTTTGGAAAACTTTCATTTTGCGCATGAGTACACCTCACGCTTGTGTGTGTGCACATGGGCAGGCTTCTTGAGGATGCATGGATTTGTGTTTTGTGGGGGCACGGGGACAGAGAGAAAGAGAGAGAGAGAGAGAGAGAGAGAAAGAGAGAGAGAGGGGAGCGATGTGATGGTCTGTGGGTGGGGAGGACATGAGAGGGAGGGGGAACGGGTCCTGATGCTGATGTCTCTGCTGTAACCTTGGTTGCTATCGAACAGCAGCAGGGTCTGCCCTTCCCTTTTAGTCATTGGCTTGCCACTCTGACCACAAGCCATGTGGTTTAGGCAACAGCCAATGAAACAGAGGCAATGCTCCTTTAATAGTGTTCTTTCTTAAAGAGACAGCATCGTGTGTCTTGTTTGTTTTATTCCAGAAATTCTTCCCATGCTGCACTTGACTATTAATAAACAGCAGGGGTGTTCATGTTTCTGATCATTGATGCTCATGACAAAGGATTGAGGGAGAAATAGCAGGATGAAGGACATAATTTCTGTGTGTGCATACAATGAGCAGGGAGAAGCCTCCTGGGGCAAGCAGAGTCTGTGTGAATATGTTGCTGCCTTTCAGCAGCCGCAACTAAGCTACAGAAATCCTCCACACTGTGCCAACATGGAGGTGCACACATGAATTTTCCCACTCAGTCTCTCACTCTTACTCACACCCTCGCTCACACACATATTTTCGACAGACGTACATGCTGTCTCGTTGCACATGCGCACTCCGCCTCTGAAACGAGGCAAGCACACACACACACACACAGATGCATGCACGCGCCTGCAGCCACACTGCCTGATTAGCTTGCGAGAGCTGTCTACAGCATCCAGGGAAATGGCGCAAGAGGCAGAGCATTGGAGGAGGAACGGCAGCCTAAAGCAGCAGGATTAGACCTCTGGCATTTTGGCCAGCTGAGGCATGGATTGACTTGGAGCAGAGCACCGGGCTACGGAGGTATCAGGAGGCAGCCTGACTGCCTGTGCACAGACAGTGTGTTGCTGGGATCGGTGTGAGACGGCACAGACGGGCTGATGCACCGGTAGGACTGGGCCGGGCCTCTGGATCTGTACCGTGGGGGAGGGGCAGTCGACGCAGGGAGAGGGAGCCTGTTTTTCCAGACCACAGCTCTGGTGTGATTCTTCAGCCTGACCGTCTGCTACAGGCCTGCCTGCATCCTCTGTCTCTTTCTCTCTCTCTCACCCTCTCATTCTCTCCTTCCTTGTTTTTCTCCTGCTCTCACCATCCATTCTCCCCTTCTCCCTTTCCCGATGTTCCTGCTGTCATCCGAGCTCCCTTTACCTCCATCATTCGGCACTACAGTCATCTTTCTGTCCTGCCGTCACCATCTCTCCATTCCTCTCACCTCCACCGTCTAAATATTTTATTACTGTTTGTCAAGCAGCTCAGCTCTCGCGACATAATTTTTTCGTTTACAACTCTCTCACATTGCCACTCATCCCCTCCATCAGCTCCTCTCTGTGCCCTTCAGACGGTCCCTCACTTCCTCTCTGTTTCCCTCCATCTTCACTCGTTCGGCTCCGGTCCACTTCTACCCTTCAGTGACTGTAGATTTGGGTCAGTCTGCTCAGCAAATGGGATGAGATGTAGTCTCCACAGCAGTTCGGATCCAGGGGGCTCCTGGTCTGCCCATCAGGGGGACCCTCATCTTCTGACCACACTGAGGCTGGAGCCTGACTCAGGACTGACTGGGTGGCCTGCTCGGGGGTACTGCATGTAGGCAAGGACAATCTACACCAGCAGCCCCTACCCTCACCCCCCTTCCCCCCGTTCCTTCGCCCCCACTCGGGGCAGCCGTCACTCTGGAGTGTCCCGGCTTGACTGGCTGTGGCCTCTCCTCACACACCCTGACGACGCCCTCATGCCACTGGGGCACCTGCAGTGCCCCCACCCCGCTCCACTACCGCACCTCCTGCCTGTGCCATCGGCCCAAACCCCCTGTCACCCTCAACATGGGTGTGGTGGAGGCCATTGACCCAGCGCCGTCCCCCTGCCCCTCGCCTGTACCAGGGGGCTACAGGCTGCCCCGCTCCTCCAGCTACAGCCCCTTGCAGGGGAGGGCAGGGGCAGAGCTGGACCTCGGTGCGGCCGCTGGAGGAGTCCTGGAGGGGGGTGGGACGGCGGCGGAGCGCAGAACGCCCTTAGTGGACCTTTTCTGTGAGACCTGCTCCAGGCCCTGGCTCATCGGTTGGTGGGACCAGGTAGGGCTCGGACAGCTTGCAGAGACCAAGCAAGGCCTGGCAGTGGCCATCTTGGATAGTTGCTGTGGACTCTTCAAGTGTTACTGCTACATCTGTGCATGCATGAACTACTCATCTGTTTGTTTACTCCATATGTCTTAAATCAACAGCGGTTTTGTCAGTCTGTGGATGTTATGTGTTTATAAGGGAGAATGTTAAAAGGTGCTACATGGGGTTCATCACATACAGAGTGAATGTAGTAAAGGAAGGTTTTGTGGCTCTGACATTGGCTTTGTGAAACTATAAGGCAGAATATTTAGGAGTGTGTTCCTAATTTATACATGAATTCACTCAGGAAGAATAGTGATAAAGAAACCGAATTTATTAACTCTGCTCAGTGTTTCCACGTTGCAGCAGCACTGTAAACAAAAGAACAATAACAGTCTCGTTCTTCATTCCTCTATACCTCTACATGTCCGTCCTCAGAGAATACACTGAGCTGCTCAAAATTCTAAGAATTAGCCTTGGGACTTTGTGAAATAGTCCAGTCGCCTGTACTGCAGGTACGTTGCAGTGTCACATAATGTCCATTTCTATCCTCCACACCTGCGTCCCACATCCCTCAGTCTCTCTCTCTCCTGCTGCCCTGAGGCTGGCCTCAATACAGACTTAAGGAAGTCAAGCGTATTGTCAGTGAAGGACAAGCTTATTGTCTCAAGACTGAGTAAAGGTTCCTTTTCCTTATCTTTAATGGTGACATTCACCATTATGCATCCATAAGAATGTAGGAAATTACAAAGAAGTTTTGTTTGATACATCAGACGGGCATCTGGTGTGGTATCCTCGTGCTGTGTCACCAAAACAAATACTTGCTTTTGTCTTTACTGCTTTGTTGAATTAGGATTATTGGTTTTACTTCCCTACAGGTTTCAGTTTAGAAAACTCTGTCACATTATGCACGTGTGTGCATTTGTATTTGTGTGTAGTTCATGATAATTTACAGTTAGAATAGATGCATCCCTGCTGGGTTCCTCATATTTGCAGGTGTGTAAGTGTGTGTCCGCGGTCATGTCTGTACAGTGTTTGCATGTTTGCTTCATTAGTCAGTGTCAGAGGAAGAGTGTTGTTTGTCCTGGCACTCGGACTGGCACTGTAGAAGTGTTGGTTGGCAGCTATGACTCAGCGTTACAGCATTAGGGAAGGAAAGAACGAGAGAGTGAGAGGAGGAGGTTTGGGCTGAGCCTGATGCCTAAGTGTGCCACTGGGCTTGACTAGCTTTCTCAGCTCCTGATGACTGATTCTGCCTGATTGCTTCTACAATTTGCTGTTAGAGAACCTATTTGCTTGGCCTGTCATGTAACAGGCACCAGTTTGGATAGGATGGCTTGGAAAAGGAGTGAGGGAAAGAGTGAAAGATGGTGGTAATGCATTAAGGGGGGAAAAAGAGGAAGGCAAAGTAGAGCCTGTGACAGAGAAGGAGGATTTTTGGGCTTGAGGGCAGTAATGGAGAGTGTTGTTTACCTCAAGAGGGAGGGAGGAGCAGATATAAGCAACAGAGAGATGTAGAGAGGGAGACGGCAGAGGAGGGGAGGGTTAACCTTGGTAAAGGTCAGAGACACCTGCCTACTCCCTCAGATTGTCACCCAAGCAGCCACCGCTCTCACATCAAGCTGAAGGACTGACTGTGAGGAGGCAGTTGCCACGGCAACTGCTCTGGTTGCCATGGAGATTGTTATGTGTGAAAGATCAGTCAGTAGGACACAGACTGAGGGGTCTGTCCGAATCGCATTCTGCCTTCACATGACTTGTCGAACAGACAACTATTAAGCCTCCTGACACCATGTTCATCTACAGAAACAAAGCATTACATAAAAGACGAGAGAACATTCAGGAACAGTGTTTTCTGTCTGCATGGATAATGCATTCACTTAATCACATTTGTGTCTGTATTGCACAGACCCACTGACTAGTAGCTCAAGACTGACACTGTAGATGTATAGAGAACAATAAACACACCACGTTACTGCAGCAGATCACTGGAAATCCAAGTGCAAGCACACCGAGTTGGGGTATCGAACAGTCTGTTCTCATCTGAGAAAAAGAGGAGGAATGATTCACAATTGATTTTCTCACCCTTTAGTAAATGAGGGTGATAATTTATTTTCACATATTTGAATCATAGGAATGTTTTCTTGTTATGTAGCAGAACAAACGGAATCTAAAGTACAATGTTAATAATCCTGGACGCCGATCAATCTGCATGTCTGTTTATTTTTGGATGTGTCAGTAACCTTTTATGCTTCTACATTGTAACTACTATTCAAGTCACTCACTTCTGTCCCTGTCTGTCCTCCCCTCAGTTCAAGAGGATGTTGAACAGGGAGCTGTCCCATTTGTCAGAGATGAGTCGCTCAGGGAACCAAGTGTCAGAATACATCTCCACTACCTTTCTAGGTAAAGCAAACCCGCTATTTGTTTATAATCTCTTCCGCAAGTTCTTTACAGCTGTGACTTGAGGTCAGGGACAACCTTCCATACGTCTCCACCCCAGCTGACCTTTGACTTTTGATTCTTCCAGACAAGCAGAACGAGGTGGAGATCCCATCTCCAACCTTGAGGGAGAGGGAGAAGCCCATGTGTCACATCAGCGGTGTCAAGAAGCTCACGCACAGTTCCAGCCTTTCCAACTCCACCATGCCTCGCTTCGGCGTGAAGACTGAACATGAGGATGCGTTAGCCAGGGTAAATAGACAGAAAAGCAACGCAAGAGATCAAAGTTAATGCATACGTAAACCCTCACAGAAGATAATAATGAAAGATTTCATAAAACAGGCAACATGCATTTGCTAGTAGTCTCCTCAAAATATTCTGTATCCTTATGTAAATATGCATTTCTGTATACATTCTGTAGCCTTCTCTATGAACATTTAAGGAGAAATTTCACCCCAAAACACTGTTGCCACACAATATATTGCGATGTCACACATCACTTTAAAACATATTTTTGGGTCCCAGCAAAATGTTTTGTATAAGAGAAGAAGTTTTCCCACAATAGGCATATAGCAGTAAGATATGTTGTAGGTTTCTCACTTATCTAATGTAAAGAAAACACAGCTTTTGCATCATGATCCATCAGGATTGGCAGTAAAATGAGGAGAAAACTACAGTTTTGTTCCAATGTGTGTTAATGTTGTCTGCTGTGCCTTCAGGAGCTGAACGACTTGAACAAGTGGGGCCTTAATATCTTTCGTGTGGCAGAGTTCTCAAACAATCGACCCCTCAGCTGCATAATGTTTGCCATCTTCCAGGTGAGAGACAGAGACACAGACCTTAAACAATAGATCATGCAGTAGCGCGTAACATGTAGCATGAGTGTGACCATCAACTGCTGTGGACTGTCCGGCTGCAGGAAAGAGATCTACTGAAGACCTTTCGGATCCCTGTGGATACGTTTGTCACGTATGTGATGACCCTGGAGGACCACTACCATGCCAATGTGGCCTACCACAACAGCCTCCACGCTGCAGATGTCACTCAGTCTACTCACGTACTGCTATCCACACCAGCTCTAGATGTAAATACCTCTATTGGTCAACTCATTGGTCAAAGATACAGCATGACAACCAATACACAGTTAACTTCACAAATAGCAGCCACTCCAGAAAGAAAATAACTATTGAAATGACTGTTTCCCTCTTTTACTTCTCTCTGACAGGCTGTATTCACTGATCTAGAGATTCTAGCTGCGTTATTTGCTGCTGCCATCCATGATGTGGACCATCCGGGAGTGTCCAACCAATTCCTCATAAACACCAGTAAGTCAAAATGAAACACAAACATTATAGAACATAAACTCTATGACATAAGACAAGAGCTGCATTTGCTGAAAAATCCGACTGAATATGCATGATGTGAGTGGTGTCTAATCAATAGCAGCACATGTCAACCACGGCAGGATAAACAGAAACGAAACAGTATAAAAACAGCTATGACAATGACAGGTATCAGCAAAAGTGTTTGATGTTAGAGAGGGCATAAACCAGGTTGCTAAAATCCAATCGGTGAGGATTAGGTGTGGCCACTTTTCTAGGTCAGCTATTTTCATAGTTCCTAATATTTCATTTTAGTCTGCCTATTAAAGATTTCTCTTATTTTCAATATCATTAATGTCATTTTCTTTGTCATTTCTGATGGATTCGTGTTTCGGTGTGCATATGCTCAAAGTATAAGTACTACGATATAAATTTTAGGTAAAAATACTAACAAGCTCATTAAGGATTAAGATACAAGGTGTGTCAGAAAAGTTTCAGGACTGGTGTCACAAAAGATATATTTCAAATCCACACTACAAACTACAAGTTTTCCCTGGCAAAGGAATCCCCCTGGAGTCTAACACACTTTCCCAGCTTTCTCTGCCACACCACCATGCACTCCTGGAAGGATTCTTCAGGGATCCTCCACAGCTCTGTCGTCACAGCCATCTTGATGTCGTCCACGTCTTCAAAATGGGTCCCCTTGATCACCCCCTTGAGCTTGGGGAAGAGGAAAAACTCACGGGGAGCCAGGTGGAGTGAGTAGGGAGGTTGCTCCAGCACGGCGATGTTCTTCTTAGCCAGGAACTGTGGGGTGCTCAGGACATTGTGAGCAGGCGCGTTGTCATGGTGAAGCAGCCACGACTTGTCCTACCACAACTCTCGCCTCTCGAAGCAAATGCTGCAGGAGCTCTTTGTGGACGTGCTGGTTGATTGTCTAAAGGGGAAAACTCATAGTTTGTTGTTTGGGTTTGAAAAATATCTTTTGTGACACCAGTCCTGGAACTTTTCTGACACACCTCGTATAGTGATTGGTAGATTTATTGATGCAGCATATATGACAGAATTTGTGTGAAGAATGTTCACACAATTTCTTCTGTGTTTTATACAATACCTTCAAATACAACTATTTTTCATCACTATTATTTTTAAGTTAATTAGTCTGAAAATTTTGTCTTTACACTTATTCGAAAAGGAGAAAGCTACATCTAAAGAATAATTTGCACACCGTACATTTTGAAACAGTGCCATCACAGTCCCAATATAGTTGCGGTGATGGGACACAGTGATGCAGAATTTACTGCATTTGTTTTTGACTCATACTTGTCATGTGGTGCTTCCTTCAGACTCAGAGTTAGCCCTGATGTATAACGATGAGTCTGTGTTGGAGAACCATCACCTGGCTGTGGGTTTCAAGCTGCTGCACGAGGACAACTGTGACATCTTCCAGAACCTTAGCAAGAGGCAAAGACAGAGCCTGAGGAAACTTGTCATTGATATGGTGAGTGTTTGCCAGCGCACTTAGTCTGTATTATGAAGATAACCGCTTTCCTCACTTGTTTCCATCAGCTCCCCTTAATCTCCTACAGCCTTTGTATTCTCTGTCTACTTTTTTCTTCTAATGTATTCATGTCAATTTTGTTCCCAGGTTTTGGCAACAGATATGTCTAAGCACATGAGTTTGCTGGCAGACCTCAAGACTATGGTAGAAACCAAGAAAGTGACAAGTTCTGGAGTACTGCTGCTCGACCACTACACTGATCGGATACAGGTGGGACATCATTTTTTTAAGTTATTTACAATCAATCAACACTGTACACTGTGTCAAGATTCCCTTTAAAATGACAGTAAAATACTGGCAATTTTGCAGTGTTACAGTTATAATTTCTTTAAACAGTTAAAAAGTTGTTTTATTTTACTGTAGAATGTGAAATTTACAGTAAAACGCTGTCAGCTGTGGTTGCAAGTAATATACTGTACACTAATTTACTCTATTTATATAGTGTTGCCTCTGTAATCAACATTAAGTGTAACTGTGGCTGCCTGTAAACAACATTCCCTTCTTTAACAATGCATAAACACTGCTGCAAGGTGCAGACATATATCATAATATAACAATCTTGAATTGAGATCTGCAAGTTCTGTTTAACATTTACAAAATGTATATACCACTAAAAAACCTGAAACAACACAGGCATTTTTATGGACTGCGAACATTCATTCAAAGTCAGCTATGTACGACAACTTACAGCCTATTAAATATACTAAAATATTTTAACTTCATCAAAAAATGAAAACAAAAAAAGTTATCAGTGTAAAATTATCAATAATATTCTTAGCTGCTAAAATGAAGTCAGTGCTGTGTGTATTGTTGTGCAAACATTTTTTTGTTCAATTCACACTCTTAATTTTGTACGGTAGCCTGCTTTTAACTGTTATTCTTTACTGGGGATCCAACAAAAGAACAACATTTTACAGTTTTTAGCCAAATTTTGGATAACCAGTGAAGTGTACAGTATTACAGTGTAATACCAGTTAGCAAATGTTCTTATCCTGGCATGAGACAAACATTACTGAAGCACTGCGAAGGTTTTTTCAGCTATTGTGAAAACAAAAATGTTGCGGGGAGAGTTTGATAGGATGTCAACTTTGGTTTGGTTAGAATTCGAGTACAGAAATATATGATCAACATGGAACAGTGATCGTGACAGGGAACTGGATAGAGCACTGTCTAAGGTTTGTCTGCACTATGAAACGTGCATGTATAACTTGTCTGTGTAATTCACATGCATCTCCCTAACATGTAATGGCAGTTTGCTCGCTGCATGCATAGACACCACGAGAGCTACAGTTTGGATGTTTTTTTTTTTTTTGTATTCGCTGCACCTTTCTTCTGCTGTTAATGTTTATTGATGGTTAAGAGAAGGTGGATCTGCCAGAAACAGGAAGCTGGCATTCCTGTTTGAGTCGGTTGAGCCAGACGATGCACAAATCTTGGCAGGGTCTGATCAAGCCTATGATCCAGAACGGTAGTTGTCAAGCATCATATTAAAGAATGATGTGTTTGTTAGGTTGTCAGCAAAGATAGAGAGATATTGTGTAACTCTTAGAGCTGCAGTGTTGTCTAGATCTAGTTTGCAGAGTGATCCACTAGGAAGTGTGAGCCAGACATAGATGTACTTTACCTCATTTAACCTAACAGTGTTACAGCTAAGTGTCACCTGCAAAAGCAAGAATCTGAGCTGTTAAGAAAAGAGGGTGATGGAAAGGAAGGAAGAGAAACATGAAAGTGTTTCCCCAGATGTCTGTGTCTGCAAGAGTGCCAAGGAGGAGGTGGTTACTAACAGTTTGTAAAGCAACAGGTCAGCTGTTTTTGAAACAGGTAGGAGTGCAGGGTTAGTCTTGTGTGCCAGTTTGGATCCTGACTGATTGGAGTCCAAGAAGTTGTTGTATGATAATCCAAGAGTTTAGGAAAGGAATAAAAGAAAGGATGCTAGTCTGGAGTTTTCACTGGGTTAAGTGTTCTTCTCGAGCATTGGAAAAGCTGGGTGACTCAAAGATCCATGGCCAGATGTCACAAAAGATCTGATAACTGACATTATGCAAAGGCGCCGGGGGGATTCGGCTAATAGTGCAGGTGTATTAAAAGATTAAGTTTTCAGCATCTTGTCAAGGGTGACAGAAGAGACGCCAGAGTAAATGCAGTGTTGGAGGATGCTGCTGAGGATGACTAATTTATTTGTTAGTGTCAAAATCAAGAAAATGTTTAGATTAGGTAAATAGCTTAAGAAAGCAGGGGTCTGGATTGTGGTGCTGTAGTAGCAACTGGTAGAAGAAATAAAAAAATAAAGGTGAAAGAGGTCATCAGAAAGTTGGGTTTGCACCTGCTGCTCGAAGCTTTGTCTGTGTGAAATGCAAAATGCCAAACAACCAAAGGGACAAAGCTGATCCAGTGCAAATGAACCCCATATTTGAATTTAGGGTGGTTTAATGTTTGCATATATTGTATGTGACGTGTGACTTTGTGTTTGTGCAGGTGTTAAGGAACATGGTGCACTGTGCTGACCTGAGCAATCCTACGAAGCCTTTGGCTGTGTATCGACAATGGACGGAGAGAATCATGGAGGAGTTCTTCAGGCAGGGAGATAAGGAGAGAGAGCGAGGGATGGAGATCAGTCCCATGTGTGATAAACACACTGCCTCTGTGGAAAAAAGTCAGGTAAATGATCAGACGGGGAAAACACACATGTATAAATGTGAACACAACTGTTGATGCTGTAGGTGGGGTGATAACTACAGTGCAGAGTGATTTGTCAGCTCAGATCACAGCAGTCATCCTCCTACATTTTTAATGCTGATTTGCAGGGAGTGAAGTAACACCACTGTGCTAACTCATGTCATGTCAGTCATACTCCTTTTTTTCTGGATGTAGGTGGGCTTTATTGACTACATTGTCCACCCGCTGTGGGAGACGTGGGGGGACCTTGTGCACCCTGATGCCCAGGACATCCTGGACACTCTGGAGGACAACAGGGACTGGTACCAGAGCACTATCCCACAAAGCCCCTCACCACCTCCTGTGGGCCAGGACAAGGAGCTAAACGCCTGCATAGACAAGTTTCAGTTCGAGCTCACCCTCGAAGAGAGCTCTCAAAGAGAACCGGAAGACGAGGGTGACAAGCCCACGCCAAACCATGTGGCACTGCAGGACTGCAGTCACGGGGATGAGGAGGGTAAAAAGGAGGAAGAGGAAGACATAATGGCGGAGGAGGAAAATGAGGACATAATAGAAGAGGAGGACGAGGTGGCAATGGAGGAAGAGGTGGAGGAGGAGCTGAAAGCTCCGTTGGGTGGAGAGCCTGAAAAGGACAGACTTTCTGACACAAGTCCTGTAGAAGAAGAGGAAGATTCTTCTTCACAAGCTGAAGATACATGAGTTCTGCTCCTGTATCTCCCTCCTCACTTGCACACATTATCTTGTTCATCCTTTCAATGGCCAAACCAAGAACAAATAAGACTGCAATGACAATACAGACCTTTAAATATATTTTTCAAAAAGGGAATAAATTAAAATCGCTTAAAGAGAAGTTAATTACACAGCAACTGTAGATTTGGAGTGGTGACAAGTCCTTCGACTGATTTCACAATGAACTTTAGACTAAGAGGAATTTAGAAGAGCTTTTAATGATGGGCAACTGAAGACAGCGTAGCACTCTGGGACTGGAATGCACACACATAAACACACATGAAGTGACACAGAAAAAACGAAAGCAGGAGCAAGTCATGTAGAACACCAATGCAATGCGTGTATGTGCATGCAGCAGTCATGCAATACAATTGCAGTTCATATTTTCCCCGTCCTCTTTTGGAAAATGCACAGACACACACACACACACACACGCACACAACACTCACAGACACACACTTGACTGTATGTTTGTATGTGTGCATTTACATGAGGGACACTGATCAGTAATGAATCTCTTTGGAAAAAGCCATCCCTTAATGGAGTATTAACTAGTGTTCAGTCAGTATTAGTAATTCATGTTTGTTAGAATCTCAATAGAAACTGTTCTCCTCAGAAAAGCTACACGTTCGAGTGACTTTTTTTCCATTTCTGTCGGAAAGAAAAATAAGAAAATCCACAGAGTTGGAGGAGGAGAGAGAGAGGAAGATATCGAAGGAAAGGAAGATGCTGCGATGAAGGGACCATCGGGTCCCATACCACTTTTCCCTTTACAAGGAGAGTGCTACTGGTGCAAGATGGCTCTGTGCCTTTCTGAAACACCAGCTTCCTGAATGGAGCTGTCGTGAAGCAATGCATTGTGGGACAGGAGTGTCTGATTTTGTTATCATTTTTGATTGTCTCTTGTTAAAGATCTCTCTTTACTGTTCATGGTATTGTGGTGTGTATCTCACACGTACAGTTTCTGTGGTGATATGTTTTTCAGCTGTAAGTCTTCCTTTGTTGCTCTTCTGGTAATATAATAACTCAGAACTCTAGACGCAGAGCAATCACTACCACCACCACAGCCACCAGTGGACTCTTTCAAGCTTATGGTTTTTTTTCTTATTAGAATGATTTTTTTTTTTTTTTTTTTAACTTTCTGAGAATAAGCCATGTGATGCTTTGAAGCATACATTTTGCCTATTTTATATTTAACAGTTGCTAAATATGTTGAAGGGATACCGAATTATTTCATCAGCAGAACAAATTTTCATTTGCCATCTCACACCCACTTGCACTGTGTGTTTATGTCTCCTCATACACAACAATTCTCGCCAAAGTAAGGGATGAGAAACTTCAGTGGGTGAAGTGATTTGAAGAAACACAGATGAGTAAGAAAAATCAGGGAGGCAGAATGTCAGGGGAAAGAAGCGTGACTTGGCCAAAAGGAGGTCTGGCAGTCCCTAATCATCCTTGTTATGTTTGATGCTTTTTTGCCTTAATGTCAGATGCAGGATACATACCTGCCAGTATGTAGATTTATAAGATATATAATAGATATCCTAGTATATTTATATCACGTCTGTATGCTTATTTCTGTGAGTTTCAGTGTGTCTATACACAATGTATCCAGCATTGCATTTGGAGGGGAAAGGGAAACATTGCTGCCAATTAGTTGTTCTGTTGTTGCTGTGCTCGGACCAACGTAAAGAATGTGTTGTTTTTTTTAATCAGGACGGCTACATGACTATCTTATAGCTATCTGGAGGCACTCTGAGAAAATAAGAGACTGGAGTTAAGATTATGCAGGAGTTTAGAATAAATAAGGATGTCCTTTGTTAAAATCTGACCACATACTGAGTTATGGACATGATGGAGTTGATGCGTGTGTGTGTGTGTGTGTGTGTGTTTGCATGACCGATTGTGTGGTCATGAGTGTGCGAGTGAGAAACAGTAGGAGAGAGCAGGATGTTAAAGATGTCATCATACGTGTCATTGTTCGCTCACTGGCATCAACACACCTTGTTGAACGGCATTCAGGATTCAATCAGCACAGCTTCAATTGGTCATAGTTTGCTTAGGTGTTTGTTTTTCACAGGGTAAAAAAATAAAAAATGACAAAAGAACACAACTGTGGTTCTTTTGGTGGTAAGAGCAAGTTTCTGCAGGTCAGTAACTGAGCTTATCTGAAGACACCACTGCTTGGTGCAGCAGGAGCCTGTGTGTTTGACCTGCTCTGTCGCAGGATGGAGCAGAGCTGCGGGGCCACCACACAGGCTTTTCATCTGATGGAATGGGAATCCAGGATTACTATTGCATTTACTTAAATAAAAGATTCCCATATGCATTGGCCTTTTACTTTCAACATGTTGCTTTGTTTTTGTGGCTTCTCGTTCTGTCATAAGCTATAAAAACATTAATATTTAATTGCCATACAAACACGATACTGTAGCAATTGTTTCTTATTAAGGAAATTATTCAATTAATTGATTGCTGCCATTCTTTTTAAATGATGAAAAGAAAACCATGGGAAGTGTTTTCTTTGAACAGTTTGTGTACAGTTTATTTTTATATCATTCTGGTGGATGGTCTGGAAAATGAATCGTGTGTTGATGATATAGCTATAAGCATTACCACTCTTGTATATAATGTAATATGGGATTGTAAATTATAAATTTATCCGAGTCATAATGATTGACAAATAACCACTTAAAGTTGTTAAGTGAGCCACTGAAGCACTGCAGGCCACATCCTCACATGTTCATTCTCTGATTAGGGTTTTTTCCTCACGTGTGCGAACATTCTGTCATATTTTTAAATTGTTCACATTTATTGTTATAATCAAATATATTTGTACCAGCACTTTATTTCATCAGGTTTTGACGCAGACGGTGTGTTTCAGGTAGTGTACAGTCTGTGCTGGTGGTTTGGTCGTTGGCAGTCACCTGTTGATTATATTCCACTGGGCCAAATCACAAACCTTCATTGTGCAGCAGCTAGTGTTAACCCCTTTCTATAGGCATAATCAAACAAATTAAGTCATTCTCTACTAATTGTCCATGTGAGATTTAACTTATTTGGCTGACAAAGTCAAATGTAAGCTGATGTAGTCACAACGGATGTGACGCATCCAAAGGAGATAAATGTGTCCTTATCTAACTTGGCCATTTCTAGCACTATCACCACCTCTGTTTCTTAGTAACTTTTAATCACTATCTAGCCTGATAGCCTAAATGTCCGTCCCATGGTGGCCTACTTAGCTGGTTCCCATCGGAATTGCTGTCAGGTTATGTTGTCGCAGACTGACTCCCTCTGAGAATAATTCTCTGGGCTTTAATTCATGTGTTTGTTCACAAGTAAGAAAGATTATTCAAGGGAAAAAACATGAAATGATTGTAATATTTGTAAATGATCTTGCTGTAATGTGTAAAATGTGTCCAAGTTATTTTTTATTATATTATTTTTATGAAAGTTTTTTCCTCTTGACAGAGCTGAGGTGTCATTTTGTGAATAAATGCATTTAATAAGCAAACATCTATATATAAAACAATATTATAGTATATCAGTATATTTTTCTTTTATTTCACTGTTCGGTACTGTAAAGTGTGTTAAAAATACAAATAAAGCAAGATTTTTTATATTAAATGCAATGCCATTGTCATGCTTTTGGCACTGTTTGGTGATTTAATAGAACATCTGCTGTCACCATGTTGTTTGTGTTAATACTGTTAATTTATTAGTTCAGGGGCTGGTAGTGTAATCTTATTCCTAACTGTAGCAAGACCGTGTCATTGACTGAACATGATGATAAACGTCACTGGGAGTTATGGGCTTCCAAAGTCCTGACTGGCTTCAAGTATTAATGTGCTTATGTGTGGAGGATTCATATTTTGCTTCAGTATATGTTAGTAGTTAGTACCCACATGCACATATCATGTTTTTATGCGTCTGCACTGTAAATTATTTTACATTCATTCAGGTCAGAAACGAGGTTTTCCTAGTGATCTAAAATTGTGAGTTAACTGCACTTTGGTTGCTTATTAGTTCAAAGCTATGTGGTGAGTAAGTGTAAAACTACTTGACTTAAATAAACTGAACTTGAGAAGACAAGTTCAACAACTTTAAGACAACACATTGAATCAACTCGTCACACAGAAGATGGCTGCAGACAGGCTTACGTTTTATAAAACTTTATAAAACTTATTGTGAAAAGAAACAACCATTACATCATTTAATTTGTATGCAAGACACACAGCAAGTTTCCACCATGTCTGTTTACTCAAACTACAAAAACTCTCTAACAATGTGGCGTTGTATAGTGGTATTAATAGTCTGCTTTTATGCTTGTTGTGTTTCAACATAATGTAATGAGTTGAACTCTCAGCTGCTCGTCAGACAAACTTGTGTTTTATAGTTCTAGTGATCTGAGAATAATAATTAGTTAGGTTAAGTAACGTGAAAAAGATTAATCAATTTGCCTGAACTCCATCTGTGCTTCACAGTGTATCGATATGTGATACTGAAAATCTTACACTTCATAATGGACTGTGTTAGCAGATTGTATCTGGGTCCATGTTTAAGGCAGTGAGGCTGTTGTAGACATACCATTAAAAAACAATGGAAGCTTACGTCACATTTACCAACTTGTGGATTTATACATCGATGACTATCTCTTTCTGACTCCTGCATGAGATGGCTGCATCTTCAAATATACCCAGAATTCTCTTCTTCCGACAAATGTCACGTGTCTCCGAGGTCTCCACCAATCACAGGGGCTTGTAAACGCGTTGTCCAATCAGAGTGAAACAAGGCAGAGGTTCCGCATCGATTAAGCGCCTGCGCTCTATTGATACGGAACTAGGCGGTACCTGACCGGTGAGCGTTAGCTGTTAGCTTGCCCGAAGAGGAAAGTCAGTACAGTTTTTTTTTAAAATATATATTTAGCTACGTCGTTAAACTTTTAACTAACTACAGGTAATGTTACTTCATTATAAGAGTATACGTACACTTCGTATGTGCATCTTAATTTATGGCTTACTTTTTTTTTTTTTTTTTTGCTAAACTGCTAGCTAAATTTGCTAGTTAGCATTAATGTATTAGCTCTAGCTAACAACCCACTCGCAAGTCGCTGTTAAACAATTATGGATACACAATGTAGTGTTGTTGCCTTTGTTCTGTATAATATGTTGTGTGAAAGTATTTGCACTGGCATTGTATGCTCGTACTTGTGATTAATCTGCAGATTTTGTATAACTGATAGGCGTTATCGAGTGTGAGCCATCGCAATGTCCTGTCAGTACTTGCTACTTTTGCTGCTGAGTGTGGGAGTCTCAGCGGTGGAGGTCCAACGTCCCCGCGGTGTGCCCTTATCAAGTAGGCATCTACAATTTATGCACAGTTAAAATGCATCCATGTGTACACCTATTTGCTTCACACTGGGGTTAAAGTTCACAACCACATTTCTGTAGTATTGGCACTGACACGGGTTCTGTGTTCAACCTCGACAGAACGGCAGTTCTATGAAGAGGACAAACCTTTTACCTGCCTGGATGGCTCCCGCACCATTCCTTTTGACAGAGTAAATGATGACTACTGTGACTGCCAGGACGGGTCTGATGAGCCAGGTGTGTATATTGTAGATACTGGAGACCTATGTACTGCTATTTTTTTTCCACAGTGCACTGAACTAAATAAATATTTGGTGACAAGTGGAGAGGCCTTGGCAAGTGGTTTTCAGACACAAGATATGTAACATTGCTGGCCACATCAAACTGTTTAGGCATACATCAAGGTGTGTATAATATATAGGAATGCACTAATATACAAAAAAACTTAAACTGAAAGCTAAAAGTTTATCAACCTGTTCAAATAACTGACAACCTAATTTATTTTGTAATTTCCTAAGCACTGACAGTTCTGCCCGTGAGTAATGATAATCTAACTATTATTTTACCAGCATTAAAATAAAAATGTCCCAAAAGCTGTGATAGAGCTCAGGACTCAGCTTGAGGACAGCTGTGATTTTACAAATGATTTAACTGCAGCTTTTAAACTGTGACCCTGTGTGTGACAGCTCACCCGTCTGATGAGAGGACAGGTACACAGTGTACCTTGCTCTTTGGTCATTTTTAGTTAGTAATTGATTAAGTTGCTGCTGTTGTTCCACTTATGTAAATGCATCCAACTCGTTCACTTTAGGAAAGCTCATGTGGATCTTGCTGTTGTCTCAAATATATGTAAATAAACTCGGAGGAAAGACTCCTGCATGCAGCTAGAAGCAACAACCAAAACTCTAACTCTCACGCTTGACCCATGTCAATGCTGAAATGTTGAAAAAATCGTACACAAGTCATTTTGCACAACTTGAAGTATGCTGCTCGTGTGTCTATCTGTTAATGTGGCTGTATGCGGTTCAGTTATGCTGTGGTGAAAATGATATAGAACTATTATTAGGTGCAATTTAGTAAGGTTAACGTCAGCAATCTTCACAAATCAGTGACGAGGGTGCTCATTTAGATGTGAAGCCGACACGTTGAGATGATGTCAGATTAATGGAAAAGAGTGTATGTCTGAAAGGGGCTTTAGTAAGTATGTTGTCAGGGCTTTACAGTATCATGGAGCTGTTTTGTACATTTAATATTGCATTTATTTTCAGGCACTGCTGCTTGTCCCAATGGTAGCTTCCACTGCACCAATGCAGGTTTCCGACCGGGCTTCATCCCTTCGTCTCGCATCAATGATGGAATCTGTGGTATGAATTTTAAACTGTGCTGACTATTTCTTTCCAAGTGTCTTGTGTGGCCAGAATTATGTTTTGACGTTGGTGTTTCCTCTTTAGACTGCTGTGACACAACAGATGAGTACAACAGTGGTGCCACCTGTCAGAACACCTGCAGGTGGGAATTTTTTTGAATTCTAAGTCGAATATGTGTATGTGCTAGGAGCTGGCATATTTTGCATGAACTGCAATTTGATTTGTGACAGTTTTTTTTAAGTCAAGCTTCAGTTCAATATATTTACCATAACAGATTAAAAACATGATACTGCATTACCGCATGAGATACAATCAAAAGCATGCTTGTCACACAAGGACAGCGCAAATTTGTTCAACCACTGACACAACTCTTCAAACTTTGTGTCAGATGCACTGCATAATGTATATCCTATTTTGCAGCCCTTTTGACTTAATAATTGTGTTGTTTCAAATTGCATCACAGTATTCAGCTCAAATACACACTGAGTGTAAACAGAATGATAAATGTCTTCTTGTTGAGTAAATGTTTATGACATGTGTGATTTGCAGGGAGTTGGGACGCAAGGAGAGAGAGAGCTTGCTGAAGATGGCAGAAGTTGCGAAGGAGGGCTTTGAGCTTAAACTGCAACTTATCCAGGAGGCCAAAAGAGGCATAGAAGACAAGAAGGTGTGAAAGACATTTTGCATTTTTTGTCTGTAGTAATTAGGAGCAAGAACTATGAAACAGGGAGTATTACGGTGTCAAAACTGATTTTATGTAGAGACACTGACACTTATGAAGAGATGTTAGTTTTTTATTATTAAGTACACAGATGCAAATCCAGAAACTAAATACTGACCATCTGAATTCTCCTGTAAAGGAATAAAGTAACAAAAGACATAAGAGCTCTATATAAGGTTTCAGTAAAGTTAACAATAGGTGGCACACTGTAATCTATTAAAGTAGCTTTCTGTGTTCTATTGTCGCTGCATCTCATAACTATTTTTTGTCTGCTTTTTCTGGAGTAGATGGAAAGCCATCATTTACCAAATTGAATGTTGTTTTCAGGTGTCGTTTTGATCACATTTGGTTAAATTCATTATTTTAATATTTCTCAACAGGCCAAACTTTCAGATGTTCAGGGTAGTAAGAAGGATCTGGAATCGAAGGTGGAGGCTGTGAGAACAGTAAAGGAGACTGCAGAACAGCCAGAGAAAGAAGCTAAAGAGCGCCACCTGCAGTCTTGGGAAGGTAAATTAAGATTTGAAATTTTATCACCATCTACTGTTTGTAAAGAGCATCACATTACGGACTGTATGGTGTCTTTTATGTAAACATGAAACATTTTTGAAGCAGGCCTATGTTGCCAGGATGCCATATACACTAGTAGTAGACAAAAAAAAACTCAGTCCTGCAAGTCTCTGACTTTGTCTATCTAAATTTTGTTTCTTGAACACTGTTTACAAATATGTATGTTATCAGAATAACTGATAATGCATCACAAAACAAAATGTTTTTCTGTTTCAGCTCAGAAAGCTGCCAGTCGCATTGAAAAAGACAAGGCTAGAATGCATGAGGTGTTTCTTGAACTGGATGATGATGCAGATGGCTTGTGAGTATCGGCACCCTCTTGAATTATTAGCACCCATAATGAGAGAAAGCAAATAATGTAGTGAAGCTTAGCAGGGACAGCTTTAAATTCAATAAAATAGTATAAAGAAGAAATGCAAGATTTGTAAATATGCAGCCATATTTACCTATGCTGAATTTGTTGTAATTTATTTACTGAAATACAAAATGTTGACTGATGACATGCTCCAGGGATCACTGTGTTTTCTAAACTAGAATGTCTGTAGGCAAATTATTACTATTAAAAAATATGATTGGCTCGTCATGCCTTTCATATGCACACTTTGCTCATCATTTGAGTGACAGTGATTCAGTGTTGTTATTGTAGGCCTCATTGTCTGAATAGGGGAAATAAGGGATTTTCATGATAACTGTAATGTTTTTGAAATTCTCAGTGTTTCAGTGGCTGAGCTTTTGTCCCATTCTGAGCTCGACCCAGATTCTGACAGTTTATTCACGGAAGCAGAAGCTCAGGTACATTTTTTTTCTTTTTGTATTGGTCTTATTAAACACTCGTGTTAAAATGAAGTTATCATTAAATGCAAGTATTTTTAAAGCTGTAGTGCAATCTGAGGAGCTGAACGAATCAAAATGGAATTCACATCTTTGGTTTATGTAGGTACAGTTGGGTGGAGTCGACAAAGTGGACCCAATAGCATTTGAATCTGTTTGGAGTAACATTAAAGAAAAATACTTGTCAGAGGTAAGAACCTGTAAATTCTTGTGGTAAATGCCACGTAAAAAAGCTGCCACTCCTTTAAATTTGTGGCTTTCTTGTCATTAGTCCAGCGCAGACATCTCAGCACCAATAGAGACTACACAGGAGGAACCACGGGAGCCAGTCTCTGACAATGACTCTGAGCAGTACCCTGAAGATGAAATCCCAGAGGAAGACGATGAGGATGATGAAGAGGATGAAGATGATGACCAGGATGAGAGTGACTACAAGGTGAGACCACTGAGTTTCTTTATCAAACTTGGTTGGATGATTCTCAAATTTATTTCAGTGAGTCACCTTATTCTGTGCTTGATGTACAGATCCCTCCTACGACGCAGGCTCAAGAAAAGAAGGATGACGATGATGAGGGGACTATGCCACCTTATGACCAAGAAACGCAGAACCTCATTGATGGTAAGTGTGTGTGTGTGTGTGTGTGTGTGTGTCTAAAAACCAAATGACTCAGCTTGTCCTGGGCAATGACTAATTGAACACACTGTAAAAAAAACAACAAAATATTACCACAAATGTGACAGCACGCCTATTTCTTTGAATTTCAGTGTTCAAATTTAAAACACGTCACTCATTCTGTTCAGCAATAAATTGTTTATGGAAGAACAAAGAGATTTACTGAATAAATCTTGCTTTTACATGACAGGGGTTTGTTACTTATTGTTTGTAAAGGCTTCAGTAGGATGACTTGCCCAGACTGCATCTCTTGACTATGTTTGGACTGAATTTATGAGGGTATATTTTAAGTCTGTTCATCTGATTCCCAGCTGCTCAGAAAGCCAGGGATGAGTTTGATGAGGCTGAGAGAGCTCTCCGGGAAGTGGATGATCAGATCAAGTAAGTGCTCAGTCTGAATATGAAGAAGCTTCTTTGCCAATAATGCAATCAGCGATTTGTTACCACAACAACAGTCTAACATTCAACAGCTGCAGTAGATGGTTTTGTTGCACAATCAGTGTGTTATTAGCTGAAGACTGTAAATACAAAAAAATACATTCTGGATTTGGTGTTTGTTTGCAGGAACCTTGAAAAGGAAATCTCCTTCGACTTTGGACCCAGTGCTGAATTTTCCTACCTCTACAGCCAGTGTTATGAGTTGACTACAAGCGAGTATGTGCATGTTCTGACTTTGGAAGATTTGTGTCTGTGTCGTTCCTACTTCTGAAGGTCTTAAATTCTTCTTTTTTTTCATTCAGGTACATTTACAGGCTCTGTCCATTCAACAGAGTATCCCAGAAGCCCAAGTATGGAGGATCAGAAACTAATTTAGGGTAAGAAAATATCTGTGTTATGTCTACTTTTCTTTGTTTTTTCTTCAAACTTGATTCAACACAAGTTTCTTTTCACCGTTTGCTTTCTGTAGAACATGGGGGAAATGGGCAGGTCCTGAGGATAATATCTACTCTGTGATGAAGTATGAGCATGGAACAGGATGCTGGCAAGGCCCCAACAGATCCACCACAGTGAGTCTCAGCCAGTCTGCCCTCGCTTGATCTTTTTCTTTCATAGTTTTTCATTTAACAACTGCTTCCTATTGGACAAGGTGCCAAAAATAGACATTCTGTCTCTTTCAGGTTAAGTTAACATGTGGAAAGGAAACGGTTGTGACATCTACCTCTGAGCCCAGTCGCTGTGAGTACCTGATGGAGTTCATCAGCCCTGCTGTCTGCCAGGAACCCCCAAGCCTGGATCGAGAGTCTGAGTCCCATGACGAGCTCTAGATCCTCCTGATCTGTGAGTAACTCCAACTTTTCAGTGTTTCTTGGTAAACCTCATGATAACATGTGACATAATCTCACCATATTGTGTGGTGCACATATCGATCCATGTCTATCCCCTTCAGGATCTCAAATAGGTCTTATGGCCAGGGGTGTTTAGGGGAGTCATGTATATCCTTTTAAATCTGTGACAGCCAAAGCTGCACAGCGTGAAAGTTTAGTATTTCAGCATTTTGTTTTGAAGAGAATCCCTTGTGCAGTTACAGCTTCATTTTAGAAGAAGAGCAGGACAAGACCAAGGTAATGGCAACTTCATATGAGTTCATTGTAGTGGTTAAGAGGATTAAGAATTAATGAATGGTAAGAATTTAATGATGCTGTTTATGAGTGGGATGAATACATACAGCAGCACAGTGTGCCAAATCAATAAACTGGGAACAATATTGAGATGCATTCTCTTGCTGTACTCATGCAGTAGTGCATTTATCCTTTACTGTAGACAGTTCAGCCTTTTGCACTTCATGGCTGTTGGACATAAATGTGCTCATGTACATAGAATGACGTAACAAGGCTTAGATGCTTTATGTGGACTATAAAATTTGGTTAAAACAGTTCATAATCTGTAGACTAAGCGTTTATTTGTTGTTGTTTTTTTAAGTCTTTGTTTAAAAGTAATTTTACCAATTTTAGTTAATATTTTGTGAAGTCACAGACATTGGGATGTCTTGCAATATATATATATATATCACTGAATAATATTTAGTGATGTCTTATTGTAGTTTTGATTACTAGGTCCCCCACTGACTCCATACAGACTGCCCAGATATTGGCTATAACTTCCTTTTAAATAGGAAGTGTGTATAACGCTGCAACTTGTGTGACTTGTTAACTGTGGTTGATCTTGATCAGTTTCATTTCACCGTTTCTCCTCACTTGTTTGTATGGCTGATGGATAATGTTGTAATATTAAAGTAATGCAAGTTTCATGATAACAGAGGATTTTCAGTATGTCTTATCAAGTGTGGAGGGGGTTTGGTCTAGTACTACAATATTAGACTTTCTGAATGTGTGCTCATCTGAAAATAACTCAGGAAACAGATTAATCACTGATGTAAATGCTTAGTCCTTGGAAATCAAATCTATAGGGGTCAATTTCAACTAAATTGCCTTTCCTTTAAATAACAAGAAAGACATGACTCAAGCAAACAGGCTATTGAAATGAATGTGTATGTGCTGTGTCTTGCAGATTGTTCTCAAGGGACCACAGTCGCTGCAGCAATCTAAAGTTGCCCTGCTGTGAGCAGCATCACCTTGGTGTCGGTTAACAATTGAGAATAAATTATACGTAGTTAATTATAGTATCATGTGCACTTCTTAGTTCCTCTGATACCTGTTTTGATTCTATTGTTTTGTGTCAAATATAATGTCATTCCATTATGATCAAATAAAGTTGATTTTATCATGTATTAAGTGTGTCTCTATTTTTGCTCTACCACTAAGGCCCTGTTGTTATAACTGTTCTTTCACATCAGACCACTAAGTATAGTACTTTATGTGCATTAAGTTAATGGATATAACATATACATCTGCTCATAAAAAGACCTATTATATATCTAGATATCTCACTGGAGCACTGTAGGTAACGTGTTGGTATCTGAAGTAATTGTAATCTTTGTTATTGCTGCATTTCAGTCATGAAACATTGAAAGTCAAGCCAACAAAGCAGCCTTACTAATGATACATTCATGCATAACAATAAAATTACTTTTTTATCATAGCGTTCAATATGGGGTTTTTTGACAGTCAGAAATTGGGTCACTCATATTTGTAACTTTTATTTTATTTTTTTTTCTGGCATGTAAAGTACAAATAATTAAACAATTCCATGAAAAAGTCTTCAAGCGTCTTCAGCTGAAATCCCAGTAATAAATATCCTAGTCTAAACTGAAAGGTTTATTTTTTTTTCTTTGTTAAATTTTGACATTGTTCATTTGGTCATGTTTGGAAGTATGAGATTTTGTATTTTTTCCACTGACATTGGTGTCAACAGAACTGTTTTTGATCATTTTCACCTTTGATTTGTTCTACCATTCCAGGAAAATGTAAGAAAAACATCACTAAGTTACTGCGTCCCCTCTTCTAAATAAATAGACACAAAATACAGTTGGTTGAGAAACAGAAGGACCACTCACCCCTTTACTACCCTAATAACTCCCAAGAAAACCTTCCTGCAGCTTTTTCTGAGCTCTGTAATATTTAGTTTGAGCTCTTGGCTGGGTTTTAAATGCGTACTGGCGCGAAAGAGACGCCTTTGTTTCATTGGCACAAATTGATATTGAAATTGATACAGGTGATCTCAGTATTACAATGCTTTTACAGAAACAGAACCCTTAATATCCTCTTTGTAAATGAACCCATTAGCTTCAACAGGAAAGATTCTTGTGAGTGTATTAAACCGAGGACATCCCCTCTGTTCCTGGCTAGTTGTTGGACCCTCAGTTGGGCCAAAGCCTTGCTACAGGGGCTGCTCCATGTCTCAGGGGTTCACCGAGTGGTTGAAAAAACAAGACTGTGATTAGATTAAATAATTAAAAGATTTTCATTTAACAAGACAAACAGAACACAGGCAGTAAAGGCATAACATCTAGCACACAGCATGTATGTTTATACACTTCAATTAGTTAAATATAGCAGTGCATTCTTTGACTATGGAGAACGTTTCCAAATCGTACTTCTAAAGCTGTTTTTCTATTTGTCCCCCTTTTAAGAAACGAAATGGTGTAACCACAATTTTGGCAAACTTAAAATCTTTTAAACTTGCAAATATAATGAAATAAACCATAAATATACACAAAACATACTTTATACGAGGCAATAATAATAATCATAATAAATAGTTTTTAAGTTAACAATAAGTTAAAACTACAAGCTTAAAGTCGCCCAAATAATACAAGTTTGTTGGCGCTATTTTGAATTTTTTCTGTTTAAATTATTTTATGTTGCAACAAAAGCTACCACAGACTTTACAAACACAATTGAACACAGTTTGATTGAAATAAAAAAATCTAACTAAGTCTAAAATCCGCATACACTGTAAAAACTGCAACTAATTAAATAATGGAAGAAAAATAACAAACTGTACCCAATCAATGCAACCAAACATAATCTTTGACCCATGTGTGTTCTCTATGGCAACATCAACAACACAAATACGCTAATTTAACAAGTGAGTCTTGATATGTAAATGAAATCAATAAATTACAGGAAAAAAAATGATATTTGAAATTGACATGGGCTAAAACTGATGATATATTAGACAGTATTCCTTTCAAGGTCGTTGAGGTTTCCTCTATTAAGTCAGCCAAATATGCAGTTTGTTTGAGCTTGCATGGTCAGAGCACAAATTAGGGGCTGAGGGAGTGATTATGGAAATTTAAGATCAGAGCTCTCATTGCTTGTTTGATTTATTAATGAGTCTGTTCGTTTTAATGTTTTCGTCTGAACATTTGCTCCTTTCACTATTCCGCAAGACCTTTTCAGTGTGACATTTAATTTCTTTTTTAAAAAATATATATCATTTGTTCTCAGTCAATATAAAAACAAAGCACATTGCACTTACTGTTCCATAGGAAAGTTTTTTTGTATTTTTAAATGATTATTGTTGTTGCTCAAGCAGTGTAGTACTGTTTCCTGCCATGGTCCTTGGCTCTCTCCTGTACATCAGATGTAGGTCTTTGTATAGACTGTGTATGGAAGGTCATTTTGGGCTGTGGGTTTGGTTTGTGGGTTGACTGTACTACATCGGACATGGCTGGCTAAACAGCTCCAGCTGCAGTTCACCGCGGCCTGTTATCTTGGTTGTTCCTAACGTCAATCACTGGTCTTACCACGTGCTCAGTCCTACTGTGCTATCTCTTGCAATTTGCTTGACCCAAAATAGCTAGATTAGTCCTTTGTGTGGTCAGCTCTGGCCACACCAGCAACAATCATTCAGAGTATTTCAGGGGTTGAAACAGTATGAGTCAAATCGAAAGATGTCCGTCTGTTTGAAGGGGTGCAATGTTAACGTTTTTAAAGGATAAAGACAAAGCGGATGATTTAAATGTCAGGGGGAAATACATTATGTGGATGCATTTTTCCTTGTCAAGAGGTGAACTGATTCATCGTTCTTTTTCGATATGCCTTCTGTCATTCGGTGTCTGCATGAAATGTGTGCAAATGGGATTGCTTGCATCTGTTTCATTTTAGCATTTGGTTTAGTGGTTTTAAGATTTACAAATGTAAACTGATATGCGCAACTTATATGTTCAAAAGTAATGATAACTGAAATTGTAGAGGGTCCTTATTCAATAAATAACATAGATTTGTACAGCAATTACTCAGGGAATAATATAGTTAGTCTTAATTTATCCTTCTTGGTACTGACTTGCAAAGCAATTCTTTGGCAAAAATCAAATCTATCTAATCGTAAAGACTCATGCTCAATGTTCATTATGAATCTGCGTCACTGTTTGAATCTGCATTTTACCTTTTTGTTTGCAAGCAGCTATTTCGGTTTTTCAGCTGGGCAATGAGCTGGTCTCACTGCAGCATTGTCTGGGATTCTCAAGTCAAAGAACTTCACTTCACTGCACCATCATTGAAGCAACACTGTACACAACTTCAGGACAAGAGATGTGAGTGTGTCTAAGCACTCAAAAGTATAGATGTGTCTGTCAGGTTGTACCCCCAACTGTTTAATTGTAGCTTTTTTTGTCTTCTTCTTTTTTTTCTTCTTTTTTTTTCTTTTTTTACACATCGAATTTGTTTCTGTTAGGTTTGTTTTGATCATTTTGATATGGTTAGACAGTTAAGTTTGTATGAGATACATTGTTCCTTCGCCCCCTCCCTAAATCCCCACCCATACACCGCATGCTTATTCCCCCTTGCTCTGCAAAGATCAGAGGGTTTAAAATAAAGCCATGCGATGTCCCAATTTTTCCAAGCTTAAGAATCTGTAAAAATTCAGCACAAGGTCTTGTTCCTTTGTATGTATAAAAATAGATTTATCTCTAATGTAATCCTTTCAAAGAGATCGTCCTCTTTGGCTAACACAGCGTCATTTAGAAAAGCAAAAGCAAAAATGTCTTGAATATAGTTGACCTTATTTATTCTATTATCATGTGCAGATGTCTTGATATTGAAAGACATTAGCTCTCCCCATGGTAAATCTTAAGTCTGGGCTGTTAACAGACATTTCAACTAGACAGGTTGGCTTTAATGTTTCATCAAGGGTGCCATAAATAACCTTCATGCAGTTGGGTTGGGGATATTTTATAAATGCTATTTTTGTGGTAGTGCCAAACAGATCTGAAGCAAATAAATATTTTTTCTGTTGTCAACAGAAGTATAATTATGACACTTATTTGCAAGCTTGATGTTGTACAGTCATCTTTTGAGAGGGCAGGAGTTCAAAGTTTTTAGAAAGCTTTTAAGAGAATAGAAGGGTTTTAAATGCTCCTCAGTAAAACCGAGGAGCATTTGGCAAAGTTGGAGGAGCTGGTTATCTTTCTCCCCAGCGGATCAGTGATCACTATTTAAATTGGCAGATATTGTCGCTCACACACGTGACTAAGTCAGTTTTGAACGTCCAGTCATTAGGAACTGCAGTCCCCTTAGTCTGCTCTACTCGTGTTGTTACTGTAGATCCCATGTATTCTGCTGAAATGTAAAACTTTAAACTAATTTGTTCAGGAAGCTTCTATCTGTGCACTAGACTGAAGAATAATACCGGTGCTCTTGAGTTTTTGCTCATATGTGTTATTTCCGTGCAGACCTGCCTCGACCATTGTTCAGTCCATGGGTGTGGTGTTTGACAGTTACTTTTTCCAGCTACTTAGATTGTAATCACATTAAAAATGTCAAATTCAATCATAAGACATACGCCTCTTGAGTGCAGTAACATTCATAATCAAAACATCTAAGCAAAAAAAACAACATAATTTGCCTGTCTCGGACGTCTTCTTTGCATTTTCTTTTGACACCAAATGACCTCTCAGTTAAAAGGATCTCACACCTGATCATGGCTGACAGTGCCATGCAAAAACATAAAAAATAAAACGGCCTTGTGGGTAATGTAAAATACAGGTGCAATGAGATAATGACGCAAAAAGTGAAAAAACACCGGTATTTTCCTTTGACGTGGCTGTGTTATGGTGAAACGGTTTTCCCCTCACACTCATCACTCTGTCGCCCACCAGAGAATTACTAATGAACATTGTCACCATGGGAGCGCTGCCACTCTGCTCTAAGTTCACAGACAGTCTGCTTGTATTAAATCCATCTTGAGGATAGATTAGAAAAAATACAGCTTTAGTGAACTAAATATGTGTAAATCTTCTAGTTACTGAACCGTGTTTCTGTGATACATAAGTGTACTATTGTGTTGTTTGGTGTGAGACTGTGAGGGAAAGAGTGACTCTTATGG